TGCAATCATGACTAAGAACTGCAACAACGATTACAAGCTGAAGTTCTCTCTGGAGGAGGAGTACCCTGACCTCTCCCAGCACAACAACCACATGGCCAAGGTCCTGACTAAGGACATCTACAACAAGCTCAGGAGCAAGTCAACCCCCAGTGGATTCACCCTGGATGACTGCATCCAGACCGGTGTGGACAACCCTGGCCATCCCTTCATCATGACCGTCGGCTGTGTGGCTGGTGATGAGGAGTCCTACGAAGTCTTCAAGGAATTGTTTGACCCCATCATTTCTGACCGTCACGGTGGCTACAAGCCCACCGACAAGCACACTACTGATCTGAACTGGGAGAACCTGAAGGGTGGTGATGACCTTGACCCCAACTACGTTATGAGCACCCGTGTGCGTACCGGCCGCAGCATCAAGGGATTCACCCTGCCTACCACCAACAGCCGTGGTGAGCGTAGAGCTGTGGAGAAGCTGTCCATTGAGGCTCTGAACAGCCTGGATGGCGAGTTCAAGGGCAAGTACTACCCTCTAAAGGACATGAGTGACAAGGAACAGGAGCAGCTCATTGCTGACCACTTCCTGTTTGACAAGCCTGTGTCCCCCCTGCTGTTGGCTGCTGGCATGGCTCGTGACTGGCCTGACGCAAGAGGCATCTGGCACAATGACAACAAGACCTTCCTGGTCTGGGTGAATGAGGAGGATCACCTGCGTGTCATCTCCATGCAGAAGGGTGGCAACATGAAGGAGGTCTTCAAGAGGTTCTGCGTTGGCCTGCAGAAGATTGAGGATGTCTTCAAGAAGCATAACCACGGTTTCATGTGGAACGAGCATCTTGGTTTCATCCTGACCTGCCCCTCTAACTTGGGTACCGGCCTGCGTGGTGGTGTCCATGTCAAGCTGCCCAAACTCAGCACACATGCCAAATTTGAGGAGATCCTGACCAGACTGCGTCTTCAGAAGCGTGGCACAGGTGGTGTGGATACTGCCTCTGTTGGTGGTGTGTTCGACATCTCCAACGCTGATCGTCTGGGCTCCTCCGAGGTGCAGCAGGTGCAGCTGGTGGTCGATGGTGTGAAGCTCATGATTGAAATGGAAAAGAAACTGGAGAAGGGCGAGTCCATCGATGACATGATCCCTGCCCAGAAGTAAAATGGCAAAAGTGCTTTTCTTTTTTTATTTGTTCTTTTAAGCAGTCATGCCATCCTGACTTTTCCAAGAGACACTCCACCCTGCTCCCTTTTTTCCTACTTTTTTTTCTCTTTCCTTTCTTCCCTGTTGTCTTCTTTTTCCTGCACTTTTCCTTCTTATCTTCCTGTTCCTCCTGTAACATCCTGGGATCAAACCTCCACATAGCTAGAAAACCCTAGCTATGTTGTATTCACCTTAACTTTTTTTTGGTTGTACAAAATTAATAAACGGCCG